ACCGGCCACCTCTCTTACAATGGCCATCGCCCCTGACCGGCCACCTCTCTTACGACGGCCACCGCAATTTGAGCTTGCACCCAGGGCTGGCTTCCCTGCCAGTCACAGGCCCTGCCCAAAGGCACTCCATGACGTGACATCCAGAGGGCTTTCATAGGCTCAGAGAACCCTCAGAACACACGTGGCGCAAGTAAAATGAAGACCATCTCATGGACAAAGCGGGCCTGCCATGACCCGGTAGGTAAGGTGCCTGGAGCCCCCGGGGCCGGCCGGACGACCTGAGCCGCAGGCTTGGTGGCTTGAGGACCACACTGGGGCTTGCATGCGCCAGCCCGAGTGTGGAAGGGAGGGGACACGAGGGCTGCTGCGTGGCCAGGCCCCACGAGCGCTTCCTCACTCCCCACCCAGCTCTCTGCGTCCTCTGGCAAAAAGAAAAAGAGAACTTGCTTTTCTCTGGGGACGGTGACTTCCATATTTTTAGAACTCCCTTTTCTCTGGGGGACTGTGACTTCCATATTTTTAAATGATCTTAATCAAATTTCAACATGGTCTCATCATTAAGACTTAAATTGGAGGCCATGCACTTGGCTGGTCACACGTGTAAATCATGCCAACATGCTAACAGACAAGTCAATCAAGTTAATCTCAATGCCACATTCATTCCAGATAATAATGGAGCTAGAAACACGGCACCGAAAATCCTTCGGAGCAACACGAGTGCCCCGTGAAGGGGTCACGTATGCAAAGCCCTCACACATGTGAGCTACGTGTACCCACCCATGCGAGCAACATGTAGCTTATTTTTATCAGTAATTATAGGGCCAGCCCATGGCGTGGTGGCTGGGGCAGCTGGATCCCACATGGCCGACTGCACAGTCCAAGTCCTGGGCCTGGCAGCTTAAAATACACGCTGGGCTCATGTGTGTGTGCGCCCAAACCCAGAGAAGGGGGAGAGCTGGAGAGGAGGGGCTGCAGCACGGCCATCCCCACGGGGCTTCCTTCCATCTCCACCTCGGGCAAGCACACACACCCTCTGGCGAATCTTAAAAGATAAACATTAACTAGGAAGCGGCCCTGGAAACGCCTGCCACCATCCTCGATGGGTGGCCACTTCTGGGGCAGCTGGGACAATGGTGAGGCTGACGGCCAGGGGCCCTGGGACAGGGTGGGAAGAAGACAGGGACTTCAGAGCAGGGCCAGACCCTCCATGACCTGTGCTGAGAGACACGGGCCTGCCGAGGGCCCTCCTGCCCAGAGAATCGCTCGAGTGGAATGAGCAACATGCTGCCTGGAGGCTGGGGACACGCACACCTCCCGGGCCCAGACTGGGGGACCCTGAGCACCCCCGCCCCGGGGTGGCACCTCGGCAGTGCAGAGAGGAGAGAGCTGAGGGCCCTGGCCAGGGGTGCAGACCGTACGTACTCGGCTTTCTCGGGCTCAGCTCTGGGCTCCTCCTTCTCCTGCTTCTCTTCCTCTTTTGCCTTCTGTTCCTGGGATGGGACGACACGGGATGAAGAGGCAGAGTTTAAACCCCATGCATGCCATGAAGACACAAGACATGTAAATAGGGACTTAGGGAATAAACGAAATTAGCGAAACAACCCTAGTACCTCAGAGAGAAAGGTGAAAGAAAGAAAGAAAAAGAAGGGAGGGGGAGAGAGGAGGGCCCTGGGGAGGAAGGCAGGGCAGGGCCCATGCCCCACCCCTGCCTTCCTGCAGCCCCCCACACTCACCTGCTGCCACAGGACCGCCCACTGCCCACCACTTGCTTCTGTCCTTTCAGAAACGCCCATCCACCCCGCCCGGCCGCCCCTCCTCCGTCTGACTTAGCTGACCACCAGCCCTCCAGCCTCTGGGCTTGGGCGCCCGCTGCTCCCCGGGTTCTGCCTGAGCACCAAGGGTGGCTGAAGGCAGCAGCCACGCCCCACCTCCCAATTCTCTGGCTCCCCAGCGGTGCCACCTGCCAGCTTGAAAGGGGCCTCAGGAAAGCCACTTCGACCCAGACCAGGAACCCAAGGCAGGAGCGCTGCAGGCCCTAGGGACCCAGCGCCCACGGCAGGTAGTTACCTGCGGCTTCTCCCTCGGCGCCAGCAGGGGGGGCG